AAAGATACATCAGATAAATTTTTTATATAAAATATAATTTTAAAAAAATATCTAATATTTCTTTAAATTTAATTATAAAAAATCAAGTTTTACAAAGTTACAATAGTCATAGTGGTCATAATGGTTATAATAGTCATAATAGTAGATCAAGAAATTGTGGAATGAAAGTTTATCATAATAGATCAAATGGAAATCAATCTAATGCCTCCCAACTTCAATTAACTCATATTGAAGTAGTTTTTTTATCTCCTAATACAACAAGTTATCTCCAACCTTTTGATGTCGGGATTATTGCAAGTTTTAAGAATTATTATAAGAGAAAATATGTTCGTTATATATTGAAACTCTTTGAAGAAAGCAAAGATATCAATAAAGAGAAAATCAATATTAAGGATGTGATTAATTATGTATCTGAAGCATGGAGCCACGTAACCAAAAATATGATTTGGAATTGTTGGAGAAAAACCGGAATATTACCCACTTTAATTAATGAAGAAATGAATAATGCAATACAAATTCAACAAGAAGTAAGAGAACACGAAATAGCAGATATTAATCAAATAGTTGAAGATTTAAATAAAACTGATTCTTATGTTGCTCCGCTGGTAGATGCATTGAATAATTTCTTTAATGATTTAGAGAAAAAGATTCCAACTGAAGCTATTTTAAGTGAAAATGATATTATAAAGTTAATTTAGGAGGAAATGGAAGAAGTTGATAAAAATGATGAATCTGAAGAGGAACCAATACTTATTTCTTTTGGGGATGCAGTAAAATCCTTAACAAATTGGATTACCTTTTTCGAACAACAGCAATCGAATGAATTCAAAACAGAGAACATAGATGTTTTTAAAAAATATTTGTCTTTAACTCAGCAACTTGAACGAAAGTCTTGAAAGCAAACTTCAATTATTAATTTTTTTTGTTGTAAAAATGATAAAATTTAGATAGATTGGGATTGGGATTTAATTATATAATAATATAGTATTTAATCATTTAATTAGTTTAGCATTTAATTGTTTAATAGCATTTAATATAGCATTTAATAACATTTAATGGCATTTAATATAGCGTTTTAATAACATTTAATATAGCGTTTAATAGCGTTTAGTATAGCGTTTAATAAAATTTAATATAATATTTAATAAATAAATTTAATATAACATTTAATTATTAATCATTTAATAACAAATAAAAAAATTTCTTAATCATAAGTAATTTTTTTTATTCTCACTCGAATCTCAAGCCCTTCACCATTATCCTGAATCTTCCGTCGCCGACCTGTTATTTCTAACTAAAGTCGATAAAAAGAGCTATGGGAATTGTGTATATGTGTGCCACCTGTGCCAAATAGAAGAGACAGTAGTAAAGAGCATCGTAGTATAGGTGCTTCCAAAAAATATTTCCTTTATATTTTATACAATAGCACTTTAAGGGTACTAAACCCAGGGCATAACACGTTGCGGGGAGACACAGGCATGATCGAAACACCAACATGTTGTGGGGCATGTACCCGTGCTCAAATCACTATCCTGTTGCTGGAGTACGCAACTGTCTTTCAAATCTCTGGCACGTTGTGGAGTACACAGCCGTGCGTATACAACATGTTGTGGGGAATGCATAGCCATGTTCACTCAAAGAAAATACCACTGATTCATTGTTTCACTAGCATTAGCTATGTAAGTGAAACGAAAATCAACGGGTTGAAAATAAACTCAGAAAACACTATAATTTCAAAACCCAAACACAGAACCTTGCCTTCCTAGGATGTCCCCATATGCATATTATAGCCTTCCGCCTGTGCCCAACCTTTTAGCTACGGTGCGGGAAGTTCACAGCTATATCCAAACTGTTGTAAATATTCAGCTGCACTCATTGTTTAACCTAGACTCCGGCATTATAAGTAAGAAACAAGAAATCAGTAAGTTGAAGATAAACTTTTCGACAAAGAAAACCAAAATAATATATTAGTCAGGAAAATACAGCACATCACCTTTCAAGTATACCTCATATCTCATGCTCAAAAATTCCTAACACGTGCGAAGAATACGCAGCTGTGTCCACGATCATTAGCATGTTGCGAGAAGTATGCAGTTATATTGCAAAAACACGTCATGATCTAATCACTAGTCTATTTTAAGGAGTACCCAGCCAACCGTGCTTGCATTGTTCTCTTATATTCTCCACACTAAATGCTTCATGTAAATTATCGATCTCGACTAATTGCTGATAATATTCTAATGCTATATTCTTATCGTTTTGACCGATTAATAGCCGACATTATGTTCTGTACACACTACCTCCATCTCGATAACAATCTCTCAGGCCATCCCGTTCGTTAGGATTTCTGACTTTAACATCTCAGGTACTCAAATGTTTTATCTTTTGTGACTCCAATTACAATCCTAATAACGACATCCCAAGTTACTCTTTCCATTCTCGGCAACTCATGGTTCCAATTCCATCTCAATTACCCAAATTACTCTAAGTTTCCCAACTCCTCCATCAATAGCAATAAGTTTCAAAAAACTTATCAGCATACCTCATTTTGACTGATTTTGAATATGTTCAAGTACTTTATATTCGTCTTATTTAACCTAGGGTATACAACCGTCTTGCATAAGTCAAATGCATGGTTCCAGGTCCAAGGTGTTAGAAACCGTATCCATATCCTTCAATCAATGCACCTGATGCCAGTAGGATGCCATCCAGTGATATCATCACACTCAGTAAGAATATCTTTCAAAGGTGTAGATGCTTTCCGATGTCTCAATGCTATACAGATAGCTTCTGTTACTAATAGTCAAATATCACAACCATGCTTTTTGAAATTTAGTGTTTATTCTTTGTATTAATATTGGAATAGGACACCTCCAGCCTTTCGTTCACTCTTTACACCTTCATGTCTTAAATACTAGCATATTGCGAATTTTCTGTGTCCATAACGCATAAACTCTCCATTCCACGAATCAATTCACTCCTGCGCCCATTTGATGACTTGTAGTATAACATGTAATGTGAGGTCGTGTACAAATAATGTATGTTATTGTATACATCCCTTTTCTATCTATATCCAAACAAAAACACCTCGATATGTGGGTGGAAAAGATTCAAATAAGCCGAAAACCGCAGTTTCAGACAAACGTAGCAATAGAAACAAAATACAAAGGTCACGGGCTTTAGATTTAAAAACTCTATATAGTCACTATGCATAACTTTTAATATAAGGGGGATTATATAGAGGTACCTTTTTACAGTCACACTTCTATACAATCACCAATTTTAGTGGAACTGAAGTGGTGACTATATGGAGGTCTAACTATATTTAGACATATTGATAATCATTTTGAAAGAAATGTTCTTTATAATGTTTGTAAATCAAGCAATGATGCTGATGATGTAACTATTGAGTTGTAGTTTGTTTACATTTTTGATAATTATTGTTTTGTTTTTGATCTTAACGTATATACGCATTTTTTCGTGATTAATAAATAAGTATAAATACTCCTGTTATTTGTGTTTGTCCCTGTAAATTTTCAATGACATATTATCCAAGATATAAACAAAACTATCACAAAACTGCATCACGTCATCAATATTACAGGAGTTATCATAAGTACTCTAGTAATTATAAAACTCAATATGCTAGGCATCGATATTATAAGTCATATTGGAAAAAAAGATATTATAAATATAAATGGATTTATAAAAGATATAATAGGTAAGTTGCAATATGGTGAATGTCTGTTGTAATTATATAAATAGCGTTTTTGCTATATGGTTGATTATATACAATAATATAGGTGTAACTTAGTATAGTTGTATATTGTTCTGTATGGACTTTTGGCTAATCTCTTACATGTTTGTCAAAAGACAATATAGAAGATGAACTTATAAACCTTGTGGATATGTCAAGACTGCTGTTATTGTCAGAAAGCTTGTTATGTCACGATCTTATATAGGTATCAGAAAGGTTACTCATCATAGTGTAAATAATTTTCTTACTATGTATCATGTTTTACATGATGCAATGGTTCAAAATCCAAATATTGGTTTGTGGCATCGTATATACAGTATGTTAAGGGATTTAAGGTTACAATGCAAGTATTATGTGGAGTATATATTTCTGGAAGATATAACAATCAAACATCTATTATTAATGAATTTACTTTAAGAGTTAGATTTCTTGTTTGGTCTCAGTCTAAGTTTAGGCAAGTAGAAGTGAATGTTAATAATCATATGTGTGGATTCTTTGGAAATACTGTTGATTAACAAGATTTTAATTCTCTAATTACGAAAATTGTAAATAACCATATAATTAGAAACTTTGTTATGTCTTTAAATAATAAATGTGCTAATTATGAATGGACTAAATATATCACTGTAAATTAATATCTTGATTATGTAATTCAGAATAATGCTGGTGTTATGGATGGTAGTAGAGGATTGTACACAATTCTTTATATGTGATATTATTATAAAGAGACCTTTGATTTATAATTTAGATAATGCAACATGTGCTGTGATATTGATGGTATCGAGTTGTCAATTTAATATATATTATGGTATAGGTGGACATGAGGCAGAAGATACTGTTGATCCTATGGTTGATGCTCAAAATATGAATTCAGAAGTATAAATAAAGTATTATTTGATGTGATATAAACAAGATTACTCTTGACAATGTGATAAGTGATATAGTTATTGAGTTACGAGAGAATCTGTTTATTTGGATGGTTCCTGTCCTCTTTATATAGAGGGAACCGAGATTATACTATTAAAAACTAGTAGGATTATATTAGCCACTGGCTAGGCCATCATGAAGTGAGACTATGTTGCTTTGTAGCAGGAGTGGCGCAGCCCCTTGCTAAAGGAACTATAACATATTTTTTATATATATGTAATTTTCTGGGATTGTTATTATCAGAAAAACTTAGACAGGTTGGAGAGTACAAGCAATACTTGTTATGGGTTTATCTGTAGTATTATAAAATATGTGCTGAAAAGGAAAACATGATAAGGATCCTAATAATAATTAACAGATATATGTTCTTTGAATTAACTATATCTAGTATATGAACTTATTTATAAGATATAAGTTGATATAAACAAATTAAGAAAAAAATAGATACTAGGATTAGATTAACTAGAATAGTTAGTCAGATTTTTTATATAATAATTGTAACTTCAATATAAATTAATAAAAGTTTATATCAACTCTCCTGATCACGTCCGTTTTGTTAAAAATTTTTCTTTTATGGTAATTTTAAGCAATAAAAAATATTTTACACTCTTTATCGCAAGTGAGCCCCAGCTCAAGAACTCAAGAACCTTCAAGACAACTGGTGCAGTGGGATGGG